GGGGTTTTTTTTCCCCCCCCCCCCCCCCCCCTGAGCCACCTTTGGCAAAGTAGGAAGGAACGATTGGCCATCGGTCCTGCAATGCTCCTCCAACCCTCGAGAGGACGCGTGGTCAAACTTGCACGCACGCCCCCACCCTTCCCCCTACATACCATGCACGCCCCCGATCCAAGATATAAAACCAAATCTACCCGAAGAGCTCCGGCGTTTGCTCCTCGACGTAGACGTGGGCTTCGTCTACCCGCCCTCGCCACTCTCCCAAGCGATCCGCCAGGCGGGCGAGCTGGGAGTGCTCGAGCACTCTCGGCTGTACCCAGCTCACGTGCACAAGGCGCTCCACCTCGTCCATCACCCCCTTCACCAGCTTCAGCGACATTGCGCGCATTACCAGCCACTCCACCTGTGAGGCGAATAATTTCACGGCAGGGCGGGTCAGACAAGAGTCCGAGCGAAGAAATAGCAAGAACAACACGGACAAAGAATTGGACTACCTTTCAGGATGAGAAAATGCCGGCGAGCGGTCTTCCCAGCATCCCGTTCACTTCCTTCGTCAGCCGGCCACCTCACCAAAAATGCCTCCATTATTTCCTCTATGCATTGATCGGTGTTCTTGGTGCAAAAAGAGCGGTCGGAACTGCTGTAATTCTTCGTTGTGTGTCCTGTCCCCGAGCCACAAAGCTAGAAACTTCCTTCGAAGACCCCCCTTCCCCACAACGGCACACGGTGCCCCCACCGTCTTTTTTCTCTCGTCATGTTACGAGCGTTTCACATAAAAAAGCACACAAATTTCTTGCGGTAAATACCTGGTCGACCGGAAGCTTGGTGCGTGCGGCGATCTCCTCGAAAGGGATATTCCGGTCCTGGCTGTGCCGCTCGAAGACCATGTTCATGAGGCACAAGAGGGCGATCTTCTCCTTCGTGAAGGTCGCACGGCTCACCAAGGCGGGCTGTGCCGACATCGTCTGCAAAGGGACGGAGGGTGTGTGTGGTGAATGGGTGATTCTCAACTAAAACTAAACTTGGGTGTTCTCAACTAGAAAACACTCTCAACTAGAAAACACTCACACATGAGGGAAGCACGCCAAAGACGTGAAGGGGAGAGGGAGGCGTTACAGCTGGCAGAGCCTCTCATAGGAGGTACTGCCGTGTCATGAATTTGTAGGGAGCTCATACGATAGCCGGGCACAAGGGAGACCAAAGAAAACGTCGAGGTCCAAATCATGAAAAAACGGTCGGTCATGTAGCGTCTACAAAAATTCCAGGCTTGAGACTCAATGTTCAAGGAGAGAGTGGGTCCTCAAAGAAAGGGCAACAAAGCACAGAGGCAGAACTTGCGGCTTGCTCGGACACACACGTTCTTCGCCGCACCGTCAAAGCAATGCCCTAATCGCGCAAACGCAACACGTTCGTGTTCGACCGCAAGGTTGTAAATGAGAAACGGTAGGCCAGCTACGCAAACAGGTGGCAACCGCAGCCTCAACCTTTCTCACGAAAAACGAAAAAACTAGACATATGTCCCGCAACTCATTCAACACCAGGGAACAACCCATTCCGTGTACCAGCTCATCCTTTTTTGGGGTGTTGGCAATACATCGCCTGAAGGAGTGCAGAGCTTTGGATTATCATATTGGCGGGCGGGTCGTGACTCTCGCATGCTCAGCACGTCACTGGCACCGACTACTCGCACACAACAGCAGCCACGTGAGCAATCAACGTTGAAAAAAAAAGCAACAGATGTGGAGAGTTGTCTCTCTCTCACCTCCTGGTTCTCCGCGCACAGCTTGTTGAAGGCGTCGATATCGCCCATGTTGAAGGCCTGCATCATGCTCCCTAACCAGGCGTTTGGGCTCCCATCCAGCATGCTCAGGATTGGTGTTGCCAGCTGGTGGAGAAAGGAGCGCGCCGGGGGGGGAGGAGGCAACGGGTTCACCAATTATCCATCGGAGCACTGCATAGACCCCCAAAACCCAAGGTATGCGGAGAACGTGGCATTTCTTCCGGCTGCACAACAGCCCCCCTACCTGCCAGCAACGCCCACCGGCTCGGCCGACACAAAAAAAAAAAATCATTCGCTCTCCGCTCACGAATACAACGGGCGGCTTCGCAGCATGTACCATAACCATAGATACAGAATGTTCCCGAAACTTGAAAGGGAGACCCCACATCACTACCAAGCACCCACTGTTTGCCTTCCCTCGCACGCACTCACAACC